GTGACTGGGATAATCGGGATGGGTGTGTCAGAGTCAGCGTGGTTGGGACAGGATAGAGCAGGGTTTAGGGCTGTTGTGCATAGGGTCGCTATGAGTCGCAAAAGATTCGATGGCACATAACAACAACATAGTAATTATTAATTTAATAATCGATTTAGTTTTTATATGTGGCATGAGGTCTGGGTCTTGTTTTAGTTTTCTGCAGGTAGATAACCAGTTTTGAGATAGAGAAGTGCAAAGACACCTCTGACTTTAGTTTTGTTTTTCAGTAGCTCCCTGCCCCTTCCTTCTCTGGGGTCTCCTTTGGTGAATGACGTCAGGTTCTGAATCGGTATTGCGTTATAGAGATTGCTTTCAGTGGTATTGACATTTCCAGTGGTAGGTCTTCCTTTCTGCCGGTGTGGTTTATTTTTCTATTTCTGTAGGTCCCCTGGGCCTTCTTGTAATAAATAACACTCTTTTGTTATACTCCTTGCTAAGAATGTAATATTTTGGGTGACTATTGTAAGCATTTGGAAGGAGGAGTGGCATCCACTTCCGTAATCGCTTGCCTCCAGAAACCCTATGAACCTGGAGAGAGGATGCAAGACACACAAGCGTTGAGGACTCTCCTTCATGGGGTCGCCATGAGTCGCCTGTGACTCGATGGCACTTAATTGTAGCCATATGGTTCTTTCCTTCATTTCATTGATATGGTAGATTATGTGGTTTTCTTATATTGAACCATACCTCATAGAGGACGTGAATCCCACTTGAGAATGAAGTTGCTGTGCGTCATCGAGTTGCCTGTGACTCAGAGACCCAGTGTACATCAGCTCTCAAACCTGCCCTAACCTGAGCCAAACTTGTCGCCCCAGCCAGACTTAGTCCCATTTCTCCAGTGTACTGACTCAATCCATCTCCTCCTGGGTCTTCCTCTCCTGTCCTGTCCCTGTTCCCTTCCAAGCATGATGTTCCTCTCCAAGGACTGATCCCTCCTGGCCATGTGCCCAAAGTATGTGAGATGAACCTCAAAATCCTTGCCTCCAGGGAGCATCCTGGTTTCACCCTCTCCAGGGTGATTCTCCTGGGAATCCAGAATATGTTAAACACTCTTCTCCAGCACCACAACTCAAAGGCATCGATCCTTCTATCATCCTTAGTTATTGTCCAGCTCTCAGATGCATAGCAAGTAATTGTGAAGACCACGGCCTGGATTAGGTGCACCTTAGTCTCCAGACTGACATCGTTGCTCTTCAGTACTCTAGAGAGGTCTCTGACAGCAGACTTTCCCAATGTAATTTGTCTTTTGTTTCCTGTCTGCTGCCACTGAGAGTGTTGATTGTGGAACTAAGCAAGCACCAGGAGAGATGGAGAAGAGATTGAGGTTAACAGTTATAGCTTTCTTGGCTCCACAATCCACACTCACTGTACCAGCAGGCAGGAAAGAAAAAATGGATTGCCCTGGGAAAATCTGCTGTCAGGGACCTCTCTAGAGTACTTAAAAACAATGTCAGTCTAGAGACTAAGGTGCGCCTGATTCAGACCATGGTCTTCACAATTACTTGATATACATCAGAAAATTGAACAATGACTAAGAACGACAATTGATGCCTTTAAGTTGTGGTGCTGGAAAACTCTTGATCATGGCCCAACAAGAGAACAAACAGGTCTTGGAGAGGGAGAAACCAAGTTTCTACTTGGAGACTAGGATTTTGAAGCTCTGTCTCACATACTTTGGGCACATGGCCAGGAGAGGCTGGTCCTTGGAGAAGGACATCATGCTCGGAAGGGTGGACACAGACAGCGCAGGACAGGAAGACTCCTGATGAGACGGATTGATACGGTGACTGGGGAAATGGGGGCAGGTGTGTCGGAATCAGTGAGACTGGCTCAGAACAGGGCAGGGTTGAGAGCTGTTGGACAGAGGGTCGCTAGGAGTCAGAGGCAACTTGATGGCACATTGTAACATGGTCCTATTTAGGAGTGAGTGGTCCTTTGCATCGCCTGGAGTTACAACTCTACTGCAGGATGTGGTTCAAGTCGCCTTGCTGTAGTCAGGAGAGCTTCCCTGCCCTTTTGAATCCAATATTCATCAATTCTGCTCTTGCTCTTGCCCCTTCATCTGGCTTGTCTTCACCTCACCCTCCATCCTTGGTGCTTGTTTGAGCAGCCCGTCATCTGACCCGACCTGTCAGGCTGCACCACCTTGTGAGTTTCCAGCCTGACGTGCTCAGCTATTGCTTTGGGTTCAAACCCTTTGGTCCCATGGGTCACGAGACACCATAGATTTATTCTTGTCCCACTGGCCTGTGACCAGCCTTTGTAAACTTGGAGCCTTTTCTTTGAGGGCTGCGGAGTTCCGTGAGATGCTACAGAATTCTAAGATTGGAGTGAGCGTACTGGGAGGGGAAGAGCATTTGATGTTCAAGACAGAGTGCTACAGAAGTTTAGAAATGTTGGACATTTGAGACTTTTTTTTAAAATATTTTTGTGTGAGTGTACCGTCAAATCAGATCTGACAGGTACAGGAGGAGATTGTCCCTCCTTCCCCGGCAGAGCATCTGGTGGATTCGAACCGTGAGCCTCTGGGATTGTAGTTGCAGCTCCTTACCACTAGGCCACCAGAGCTCCCCATTTGAGACATTTTTTAACCTGTCTCTTAAGAACCGGCTTTTTGCTGCTCCTTAATTCACACAGGACATGCTTCCAAGGACCTGATGCTCAAGTCAGCCATGCTGGCAGTCAAAACAGTGGCTCGTTCTTTCATTTACCTGATTCTCGCCATCTCCTTTTGTCAGAGTCGCGGGGGTCTCTACAAGATAAAAGGGGCTGTGGAAGGTTTACTGCTGGCGTCCCTTGGGAGGAACAGGGCAACCTCCGGTCAGTTTAGTGCATGTCACTGAGGACAGAAGCACCCCCTCATGTCTTCTCACAGCTAGATCGTGAGATATTAATCTCTGTTAATCTGGAGATGGTGCAAGTGATTAACCCGTGGAAGGTTGGAGAGGACTCCAAAACAACTCATGTCTATTAAGTTAAACTCGAGGTCCTACTTTCATCTCCAAACCTGTTTTCTTAGCGTAGACCTCCATCTGATGTTCTTCCTCGTTGGTGAGCCCCAACAGTGAGAAAATGAACCTCCCACCATCTCCTCATGGCCCCCCTTCATCTACTCACAGCGGTTGTCAGAATTATTAGCCTACGTCTGGTGGGAAATGGTTTCAGAGTGTAAGGACTTTGTAGTCATTCTGGTACCTTGACATTTACCCATTTTTTAAATCATTCAGGTCAACAAGCTCTAACTCCTCGCCTCTTACAGAGCCTAGTCTATAGATTTCTATTCCCATTCTCTGCCATTATCATGATTCAAATGAGAAAGATGAAAATCTGAAACACAGTTCTGCCGGAGTGGCACGTGCTAGAGGACTGGAGATTTGGAAATGCTTTTTATTAGAATGCTGGCAAACTAAATTTGGTGAGTCAAACTTAAAACATGGTAACAGGTGCACGTTAGGGCTGATGGCATCAATACCCTCTACAGACACATCGCACTAGAAACAGACAAGCCCAACGTGTCACAACATTGTGGCTTCCTCCCACCCAAACAATTATACTCCAATCTATTCAGAAAAGAAAATTCTGCTTTGCCAAGTGTCTTTCATTCATGTGTTCTTCTAAGTGTCTTTGTGTCATCATTTTAAAGAGGAAGACTTAGAACAAAATGGCAAATAAATAGTAAATCATATTGTATAGTTTACACTACAAAAAACACAACGAAGAGGTAGTTTGCTATCACAGGCCCAACCAACAACAAATGCCCATGATTGTCAATGAGGAAGGAGCCTTTTGGAGAAGATTGTACCAAGACAGTCCTCCCTAGTTCATTGTATCGTTCTTGTAGTAGCCATCAAAAAGCGAAAGTTCATCTGTAATGGCCACACTGTGATTTCTTTTTTCGACAGACAGCAGAAGCATTTTACTTTTCTCATCCATTTCATCTATATGTATCCTTGGAGTAAAAAAAAAAAAAAAAGAATTTAAAAAATAATTTATAATGATGCTTGCCCCTGTTTCCCTCCAATGATTGTTAAGTGCTAGTGAATCGACTGTGACTCAGTGACCGCCTTGAGCAATGGTCCCTCACCAGCTCTGATGTACCTGAGCCCAAAGCTTTGACTCTCTCAGTCCATCTCATGGACAAACTTCCCCTCCTTCGCTGACCTGCCACCTTTCCAGGCAGAGTGTCCCTTTCCAACAACTGACATCCCCATCAATACTTCTTTGTTCTTTTCTATAAACTAGGAGAATTTTATTATAGACATTCTCCCCTCCCCCTCCAAACAACAGGATCCCTCTAACTTATGCAGTGAAGTGAAAGATCCAAGTAAGACTTGTGTGAAAAGTTCAGGGTTACAAAAATTGAAATTGGGTGAAAACAGAAACGTTAGGTGTCTTAACTCATTGGTCTTGGAGGAAGAGCCATCAGTATGCTCCTTAGAGGGAAGAAGGGTAAAACTTTGTTTCAAGTATTTAAGGGTATGTTGTCAGTCCTTGGAAAAAGGCATACTGGTGAAAGGTGAGCATTAGTGAAAAATGGACTTAGTCATGACTAATAGGCATAAGCCTGGTAGAGTCATGAGGCGGGCACACGATGAGACAAGGGTTAGATCTGCTCTTCAGAGTTGCTGTGCAGTCTCCTTGGCACGATGGCTTCTAATGCAACATACACATCCTTGCTTAAAAGCTAATGCATTCTGCATTCTTGTCAAAGGCAGAGAGACTCCAGTATAAGGCATCTCATGTGCCCGTCACCGGACTTTAGCCATGTTTAGTATTCCACCTGTCACATTAATGACTTGTTTGGGCCAATTGGTCTCCCCACATGATAGGGTCAAGCCTTGCTCCATGATACCCGCGTAACGTGACCCGATTTGGAGACAGCCTGTGCAGATGTTATTAGTTCAAATGAGGTCATAAAGAAACACGTGGGTTTGAGCATCTGTTGAGTCAGCCTCCAGCTGCCGGGGACCCCAGGCAACCAGAAAATGCACTACTGCCCGGCCCTCAACTATCTCCAAGGTCATGGCCAGATCAGAAGGTCCAATCTTCAGCGGTTTCATGGGCTGGATGCCAAAGGAAATCACCAGACCTTCCTGTACAGGAGTGGAATGAATCCTATTCCAGTCAGAGTGGTATTCTTGATTAAGAACCGAAGACAGAGGGAAGGAGCCAGTCAAGAGATAGGAGTGAGGCTGCCATCAGCCAAGTAACGCCTGAGATAACAGGAGCAGAACGAAGTCCAAGAGGATGTTAGAGTCTTCAGAGAGGGCACAGCCCTGCTGAGACTTGGATCCCAGATCATGCAGTGTCCAGACCTTAGCGCTGAGCGTGTGCGGTTTACAGCCCAGGGAAAGGACAGCCAGGAGTCAGTTCTCACCTGGCCATGAGAAGATAGTGCGTGGGAACTTCTCACAGCCTCCTGAGGAAACACACTTCTATTTTTTATGAGGTCATTTAAAGCCAGTGCTAGATCTGATCTCCCCACACACATACTTCTTTTTTGTTTCCACTTCTTTCCATATCATTGTTTCCAGAACATACCTCATCAAAGCTGACGCTGCGACCATTAAGTTACTTGAGGGTGGCACCGCTACCCACAGTGGCTCTGATGGCGACAGACGGACAATCTCCTCCCTGGTGACTTACAGCCTTGTGAAAACTGCCTGGCGGGTCGAGGATGAGTCCATCTTGACTCAGCCACGGTGGATTTAGCATTTGATAATTCCACAACAGCCTCTCTGTTTCCCCGTCAGCACTTCTCCACTTCCCTCCAAACTTCTTCCCTGACTTCCCCAACATCACAGGCACAGAATCAAGTCCTAACTCTTTTGGAAGCAGCAGCGGCATCCACTTCCTCAGCAACATGCCTCCGGAAACCTCTATGAACTTTGGATAAATGACAGTTCTAGAAAGACATCAGGTCTTTCGTCTGGAGGGCCGCTATGTGTCTTGCTTGACTCGACAGTCATGAACAACAGCAACGTCCTATTAGTTTGTCCCGTAGGAGCTGTTGGGTCGCTGGGTGCTGTCCCCTCAGCCCGGACTCAGGCACGCTCTGAGCGGATCTGAACCTTGGCCTCTGCTGCACCGTCCTCACTGTCTGTCCTACTCTGACCCATCCTCATCACCGTCTCCATCCGGCCCAGACAGGCTTCCTCTCCTGTCCTAACCCTCCACTTTCCCCACCATCAAGTCTGTTCCCAAGGACGGGCTCCTCCAGGAAACATGCTTGAAGTACATGAGATGCTACGCCCCTGTCCTCGCCTTTAAGGAGCACCCCGATTACACGTTCATTCTCCAAGACAGACTTATTTGTTCATTTGGCAATCATATATTCATATTCTTGCCAACACAATTCAAAGGCGTTCATTCTCCGGTCTTTATTTGTAGTCCAACTTTCAGATGCATAAGAAACAGTTGAAAATACTATGGCTTGGATACAGTGTACCTTTGTCCTTAAACCAATATTGTGTGTGTGTGTGTGTGTGTGTGTGTGTAAAAACAATGTATTCAAACTTTGTAAATAAATCAGTAAAAAAATTTTTAAAAAGGAAATCACATTTTGAAGCCAAATCTTGCCAGAAGTTGTCTGAAGGGGTGGCCAAGCACTTCCCTGGTTTCTCTTGTAGGTGTTCGGTAAACAAATATTTGGTAAGCCAATGTCAAGCTTTTCTCCGCCTACCAGGATGTTGCCTATGGGTCCCTAAGTGTGGATTGTGTTTTATTCATGTTGAGAAGTAATCCCTATTAATTAGAAGCAGGAGTGGCATCCATTTCCTAAACCAAATGCCTCCGGAAACTATAGACTTCGAGCCATGTCAAAAGGTATAGAGGCGTTCGTTCCAGGCCTGTTGTTTATAGGGTTCCTAGGAGTCATGCTCGACTCAAAGGCAATCAACAACAACAACAACATCCATGGTAACAGCTGCCAAGAAATCAAAAGACCTGTTGCACTGGGACAATCTGCTGTCAAGAAAATCAGAGTGCTAAAAAGCAATGATGTCACACTACAGTGTGTCCGACCCAGGCCACGGTCTTTTCAATTATTTTCTGTGCTGGAGAAAGTTGGACAGTGAAGAAGAATGGCAGAAAAACAATCAGTGTCTTTGAATTGTGATTACCGGAGAAAAGTACTGAATATCCCATGAACTACCCCAAAAACCAAACAAGTCTGAGTGGTGGAAGTACAACCAGGGTTCTTCTTAGGAGCAAAGGTGGTGAAACTGTCTCACTGTACCTCAGGCGTGTTGTTAAGGAAGGGCCAGTCCATGGACAAAAGGCCTGATACTTGGAAAGGTGGAGGGTCAGAGAGAGAAAAAGCCTTTGGACAGGAAGGACTCACATAGCGAGTGTACCAATGGGCTCAAGTGGATCAGAGATGAGGAGGGCAGAGAATGGGTGAAGGTACCAATCTGTTGCTCAGAGGGCATCTATGAGTCATCGGTGACTCGATGGCATCTCATCACTACAGCAACGGAAGGTTCACATCTGGGAGGTTTGGAGGGGAGGAGAGTGAAGGGAAGGGGGGGGAGAGAGGGGAATATATATTGATGAATAGAGAGAGAGTTAGCACATGAGAAGAGGACCCTCAACAACAAATGCCTTGTTCTAGTCACTGTGTGAATACAGCAAGAGCTGGACAGAGGTGCAGGATTGTGCAAGTTGTTTTCCTGGTTTTGGGTGGCGTCTCTGGGAGCCAGTCAGCTCGATGGCACCCAACAGAAGCTTTCCCCTCGTTAGCCTACAGATGTTGGCTATTATATCATCATCTTCCCCTATGTACAGGATGCTCAGTAAAAGAGCAGCATTTTGCAATCCTGACAATGGCTGGCTGCCCGGACTGTCCCACCACCAACCCCTTCCCCCCAAAAAAATCCCCAATGACCCAGCCTAAGTGTCAAGTCTCCAAAAGTTGAGCAACTCTTTTACAGACTGAGGAGTTCCTAGTTTGCACAGGTTGTCAAGTGCTTTGCTGCTAACCAAAAGACTGGTGGTTCAAACCCACCCACCAACGTCTTGGCAGAATGGTCTCGTGGTCTATTTGTGAAGAGTCACAGGTATGGAAACACCATGGTCAGTGCTATGGTGCAACGCGTGGTATTGACACGGGTAAATATTACTCACTCTTGACTCGATGGCAAGCCCACCAGAAGCCTAACAGTCCAAGCTCGTTTTGATGACACCGCCAGGAAGCAGTGTCCACTCACCCGAATAGATCCATGACACAGTTCGGGTCAGTCAGGGCCTTGCACAGCTCTGACACGCCATCGTAGTCCAAGGTGATCCAACTAAGGTTCATCATTCTGAGTGTTTTGCTGGTGGTGAGCACTGAGACAAGGTCCTTCACGCAGGCATTGGTGAGACCACACATTTCAATCCTGTGATGGTGAATGAAGGAGAGGAATGACCCCAGGCTTGGGCAGCTTGGAAAGCAGACTACTGGTCATGATAACCCCGTGCCTCTGAACAGAAGACGGCAGTCCAAGCTATTCTTAGTGGGGTAACTGTGTGAGGAGGACCTGCCGTGCTTGCTGCAGAATACCAAAGACTATGATTAATTACATCAACATCAAGAACACAGAGGTCCTTACCACTGAGCAGACAGACATGGTGACAGATGAACAAAGGATTGAGATTGTGGATCCAAGTAAGATGAGATGATTGACAAGCAACTGTAATACCAACAGTAAGGGATTAGGAGCCATATTGCTTTGGGCAAGACCTCTGTCAAGGGCCTTGCCAAAATTCTGAAGAGCAATGATGTCAGTGTGAAGGCTAAGGTGCACCTGACTCAGGCCATGGTCTTTTTTAATCACTTGCTAGGCGTCTGAGAGCTGGACAATGAGGAAGGATGACAGAAGAAAACTGATGCTTTTGAGTTATGTTCTTGGAGAAGAGTACTGGACATCCTGAGAACTGCCAAAAGAATGAACAGGTGTGTCTTGGCAAAGGTGCAGCCAGAGAGGGCTCCTTAGAGGCAAGGACGGCCAAGCTTCCCCTGTCATGCCTTGGGCATATTGCTAGCAGAGGCTATTCTTTGGCAAGAGGTGACACGCTTGGAAAAGCATAGTCAATGATAGAGGAAGGCATCCAGAGAGTTGGCCTGGCGTGGTGACGACACCCCTTGAGCTCGAGTGTGTGGTGAGGACGGCACAGGATTGGCTTGTGTTCAGGGCTGCTGCTCATGGGTCTCTCTAGGTTCCACTTGACAGCACCTAACAGGAGCCTGTGGTACAGTTACACCAGGCAGTGGATCTACTGACCTCTTGAGACCATGATACTGCTAAATATAGCACAAAGGTGGCCTCCCGCCACCAAGACTTGTCTCAAATGGTGTTAGTGCTGAGGCTGAGAGATGCTGGGATAGAGGGATAGGACCTGAAATTGTGTGAGGCCCAGGTAGATGGCATTTTCAGGCCAACTTCTCTCAGCTTTCACAATCTTGTGTCTCCCCCAACTCCCTCCCGCAGTGTCCTCCGGAAATGAATAACCATCTGCACTCAACTGCTTATAGACGATTGAGGCTTTGAACCCACCCAACTGATGGACTTAAGAAAGGACCAGTGATCTGTTTCCAGAAGAATCCTAGTTAACACCCTGTCGTGGGGTTCGACGTCAAAATGCACCAAGTTAACACGATTTGTGACGGAGTTGACAACTGCAAACAACTTCGTAAAAGCCATCATGGATACTCACGTGAGCATTTCTAAATTACAGTTAGGGTGCGTCAAACCGACACACAGATGCTTCACACCAGCGTCCAGGATTTCATTGTATCCCAGTTTCAGTGACTTCAGAGAATGGTTGATAGGAAGAACAGAGGCAATTTCTTCACAGCAGCTGGGAGTAAGAAGACATCCAGAGATCCTGGAAGAGAAAGACTCACACGGACATGTTGTTGTAGATTGCTGTTGAGCCAAGCACGACTCATGACCCTATGAACAGAAGGCCTGAAGCCTTTCTAGAATTCAGTCCAACAGTCCATGGGGACAAAGCCTTTCTAGAACTCAGTCCAACAGTGCAAGGGGATAAAGACGTTTACAAGAGCATATCATCAGATTCATTATGAGTCACATCTCACAATAGGCAAATAAAAATCTTCCCCACTGGACCAATTGGCAATCTCATGATAGATGGAGAAAAGACTGAAGTCGCCAACTAGTTCATCTTGCTTGAATCTGTATTGAACACCCATGGTAGCTGCAGTCAAGAAGTCAACAAGATGAATCGTGCTGTCAAAGGACCTCTCCAAAATTCTAAGGATCTTAATTTAAGGACAAAGGTGCATTCGTCCAAGCCACGCTAGTTCCAGCTGCTTCCTGTGCAGGTGAAAGGTGAAGAATGAATAAAGGTGACAGAGTACGAATCAATGTCTTTGAATTGTGGGGTTGGAGAAGATTACCCAATAGTCCATGGACTTTCAAAGAACAAATCTGTCTTGGAGGAAGTAGAGGCCAGGACTATGAACCTTCATTTCTCTTTTACAAGGAACCAATCCTTGAGGGTGTGGGACGTGTGGATGGACACGGTGACCACCCCAGTGGGCTTGGGTAGAGCTGAGGATGTCCCAAGACAGTTAAGACAAAGTTCTGATCTCTTGATCAAAGGGTCATAGTGAGTGATAGACGTGAAGACACCTGAGGACAGCAACAGCCTCAGACTGTTAGGTGTTTTCAAGCTGACTATCACTCGTGGCAGCCTCGTTAAGAGACTGTGGCTGGCATGCCGGGTGAGGGAGCCTGCCCTGCACTACCTTCACGTGAGGCAATAGTTTCCATCTACAATGTCCACAACCAAACGAACCTCACGAGGCCAGACGTGCTTCCCACCGTGCTCCGACACCTTCTGTTACGAGAGCTAACGGAAGCTCCCGAGGCCCCCACTGCCTCAGTGCTGGGGTTGCAAACCTGTTGCAATGGCTACACAGAACTTGACTCGGCATTAGGCGGTTTATTAGGGAAATCAACAGGTTACAATTCAGGCTGGAAACAGGCCTCAGTTCTTCAGCCATGACAGCTGAAGGGCGCTCACAGACCCTTTTGTCTTTCTGCCTCTCGGCTTCAGTTCCACGTTACGGAGCTCTCGGTCCTTTCAATTGTGACACTCAATCTATCCAAATCCTCCAGCAAATTTGGGGAAGGTCCCAGGATCTGGCTTCATGGGGTAGCGGTCCCAGCCCACTCTTATGCCCGCCTCTGGTTCTTCCACTGCTGTGGCTATGCCCATCTAGTTCCAATGAGGCATGTAGGATTCTCCAGTTCTTATGGCTGGTAGCAAGAGTCCCCCCTCTGCCTCTCAAGGTGCTCTTTTAGAACATAGAGGGGTGGTAAATTTTTTCCACCCATCCATCATCATTAGCTGTACACCTTGTTTGTACCATCCTCATAAAGGTAGCCATTCTCAAGTGGGTTACTGTAGGCGGCGTGTCCCAAGTCCATCTTGCTGGGGCGGGCGTGGGAAAGGCTTTCTATGACCCTCTGCTCAACTCGAGCACTCTGGTGGCCTAGTGGCAAGAAGCTGCGCTGCAATCCTGAAGGCACACAGCTCGAGGCCACCTGCTGCTCCATGGGAGGCTGGCCACTCTCCTCCAGTGTGATTAACTGCCTGAAAAATACACCGGAGGGTTCGCTATGGGTCAGTTCCAACCCTACGATACACTTACAACGACTTAACCCAGCATGTTATCATTTGTTCCAAGGACAAGATTCCGACACAATTATACAGACTTCCTTACAACGTGCTCTAACTACATTAGATGAAGTGTCAACATCCTTGATTCTAAGAAGCCCCTGGATGTACCTGCCCCAGGAAGACACATTTTTGTTCTTTCGGCCATGTGTGAGTCGTGCCATATTCTTTGCCAGTTCTACAATTTGAAGGCATCAGTTCTTCAGTCTTCCTTAACCCTTGCACAACTTTCAGATGCACTGGAAGTAAATGAAAACTACCATGGCTTGTTTGGGGCACACTTTAGTGTTCCGTTGACAGCCTTTCTCTTTAGCCTTTTAGAAAGATCCCTGATAGATGCCTGCCCCAATGCAACCTTTCTCTTGACTTCTTGACTGGTGCTACCATGGTTGAATAAAAGGAATTCATTGACAACTTGAATCTTGTCTCCATCTACCATAGTGTTTGTTGCCTTTTGGTCCAACGGTGAGAATCTTTTTTTTTTTCTTGATATTGTGACGTAACTCATTCAAGATCATAGTTTTTCATCTTCAGTAAGAGCTTTGGGTCTTCTACCCTTCAACCAAGGTTGTGTTATCTGCTTAACACATGTTGAAGAGTCTTCCTTTCTGATTCTTCATTTTCCTTCATAGAGTCCAACTTCTTGAAGCATTTACTCAGCATTCAGACTGAAGAGGTCTGAAGAGGATACAACCCTGACGTATGCCTTTCCTGATTTTCTATGCTCCCTTGCTCTGTTCTGACACTAACTTCTTGGGCCAGGTCTAGGTTTAGCCTGAGCACAATAACGTGTTCTGGGATTCCCATTCTTTTTAAGGTTAGTCATAATTTTTGTTTTATAATCTACATAGTCAAATTAGTTTGCATACTCGTATTGTACTTCAAACTGTTCATTGTTGATCATTTTTGGTGCTGCTTCCTCCATCGTCAGGATCTTGCCATAGAGGATTGTCATGAGTCAGAACTGATTACACAACAAAGAACAAGGTATATTCACTGCCTAACCCACACACAGGTAAGCACATGTATATGCATGCCCATTTACACACACAGTTTGCTCAGCTCCACGGTCAACACTCTTGGCACCAGCAGCCAGGAAATCAAAAAACATATTGTGATGGCAAAGTCTGTGGTTAGGGACCTCTCTAAAGTACTCAAGAGCAACAGTGTCTCTCTGGAGACTAAGGTCTGCCTGATACAGGCCACGGTTTTTGCAATTGTTATGCATCAGAGAGTTGGACAATGACTAGGGAGGACAGAAGGAGCATTGATGCCTTTGAGCTGTGGTGCTGGAGAAGAGTACTGAATGTACCATGGACTGCCAAGAAAACAAACAGATTCGTCCTGGAGAGGATTAAACCAGGCTGCTCTTTGGAGGCAAGGATTCTGGGGCTTCATCTGACATACTTTGGACATGTTGTAAGGAGAGACATGTCTTTAGAGAGGGACATCATGCTGGGTAGAGTGGAGGGACAGCGCAGGAGGGGAAGATCCTCTATGAGGTGGATTGATTCAGTGACTGGGGTAATCGGGATGGGTGTGTCAGAGGCAATGAAATTGGCACAGGATAGGACACGGTTTAGGGCTGTTGTACATAGGGCCGCTATGAGTCGCAAACGACTCGACGGCACATAACAACAACAACAACATGTGTACATGTATGCATGTAATAGACACTCCCACTACAGTATTGTGTATATATTGTGCTTATGGAGAGGTGAATCACACGTGCTAATTCACACTGCCAATCACGAGTGCTCAGAACTACTTTCAAGTCCTTCTGAGGTCAGAGACACATGCTCGTAGTGATTGGGTGTGTGTGTGTCACGTCTGCCCTACAAATCCATTAGTCAAGACTTGAGACACATTCCACAGTCTCCCTCCTAGGTGTATACCCGGCAGATGTGGAGGCGGGGATGAAAACCAAACTTCAACAATGTTCCCCACAATGTGTTTCACCATCATTAAGAGATGAAAAAAAAAACCCCTCTATCAACAGACGAATGACGGAACCACATGTGGCCTGTACACATTCTGAGTGCCCACGAAACCTTCCAGAAAAAGCCCTCCTGCATTCCACAATACAGAGTGTACTGTAAGAAAGAAATCGGTCACAAAAGGAGAAATACTGCATCATTGCACTCACGTGAAATGGGCAAATATAAACAAAACAGAACAAATGTTACCCATGACAAAGACAGGTGGCAAAGTTAGGCTTTGGTTAGAGAAGGCTGGCTTTATGTTACTGATGGGCTGATTTGAAGGACAGCAAAGATGAGTACATAAGTTGAAGAATATCACCAGTGCCTCTGAGTTTTACAGATGTTGAGGTTTCCAAGATGGCTTGTGTTATTTTGACACCACACACACACACACACACACACACACACACACACACACACACGATAGAAGACAGCATGCCTATTCGACATCCCAAAATGAACCAGCCAGCTAATTGTCTCTGTTCTTCCTCCACACCTACTTCCAACATCCAAAAAAGTCAATCCTAATGACTTACCGCAATTCTTGCACATGACAGAGTGGATTCTTCAAGCTGACACATAAGGTACACACTCCATGCTCACCCAGAACATTTGAATCCAGATTAAGAACAATCAGGGGTGGGCCGTGTAACAAAACTTCACAGAGGTAGTGACAGGAGATGGGTGACAGACAGCAGAACTCGAACCTGTCAAGGTAAGCACACGCGTGTCAACGTGCACACACGCAATTTGTAATTAAACACTCGTGGTTAACCTCCACAACCAGCGCTCTCATGAATCCAAGTGAAAACTTTGGAGTTCTTCCTTATCTCCTGTCCCAGATTCTTCCTCCCCTTACTTTTCCCTGGAGAATTTAAGGAGATTAAATCTTCCAGCAGCAGCAAAAACACGCGACGAGGAGTATGGAATACAGTGAACAATTTCTGATTCCAATTTGAACTTGCCCTAATCTGAATGATTTTAGACAAAGTCTTGTGACACTGTGTATTTAATGTTTCATGAGATGTGTTGGGGAACATCTCATCTCAACGAATTGTAAAAATACTGCTCAATTGTTCATGACTGCCGTCCCATGGACAGTGCCTCATATACTCCGTATGGATTTGGCTAGAACCATGAGGAACAGATTATTTTTCAGAAGTAGATCCCCCTGTATGTGCTCCAAGACACCTGTGGGTGTATTTGAACCTCTCACCTTTGTGGTAGTAGCTGAGCAGGTCAACTATTGTATCAGCCGGGGACCCCGAAGCTAATTCCAAGAAAAGAAAATGAATTCTTGCCCACATTGTTGCAAATTTGCAAAGTAAAGGAAAACATAAAAGCCACAAAACGATAGCAAAAGGCTGAATATTGCCCACGAGTCGAGTTGGCTTAGCTTGAAAGACCATTTATCTGGTATGCAGTAGGGAGGTGGCTGGAGTTAGAGCTGCGGAGCTGTTCTGATTTACCGTGACCCACATCCAGCAGATTCACAATCGGCCTGCTCCTGAGCCTTCCTCTCCCTCTGTGCTGAACCCAGTCCATCACTGAGGACATGACATCAACACCTTTCCGTGGTTGCTTTCTCCTTTCTGACCCTCCACTTTCCCAAGCACGGTACTCATTTTCCAAGGACTTCCTGGCCACATGTCCAGTTTCTGTGAGATGCTGTGCTACCACCTTTATCTTAAAATGAAAACACCTGGAGTGCCGGTCCAATTGGCAGCACCACAACGGATGGTGAAGAGATGGAGATTATTGACATTTTCAGCCGGCTTGGCTCCACAATCAAGACTCTTGGCACCAGTAGCCGGGAAATGAAAAGATGAATTGCGTTAGGACAATCATCTGCCTTCACTCTCTTCTCCACCTCATTCTTGGTGTCCCCGTCTCTTCATTCGCCCCGGTCGACAACAATCAGGTCCCTCTCCAGAGTGCTAAAGAGCAAAGATGTCAGTCTGGAGAGTAAGGTGCACCTGAGCCAGGTCCTGGCCTTTGCAATTGTTTCCTATGCATCAGAGAGCTGGACCAAGACTAGGGATGACAAAAGAATCGTTAATACCTTTGAGCTGTGGTGCTGGAGATGAGTCTTGAACATACATACCATGGATTTCCAAGAGAACAAACAGGTTACTCCTTGGAGGCAAGGAAATTGAAGCTCCATCTCACTTACTTTGGACATGTTGCCAGGAGGAACCGGTCCTTGGAGGAGGACACCATGTTTGGAAGGATGGAGGGACAGTATGGGAGAGGAAGACCCTGGATTGAGACAATAACTGGTGTAATGGGGTTAGGGGTCTCGGAGACAGTGAGATTGGCTCAGGATAGGACAGGGTTCAGAGCTATTGGCACAAGGTTGTTTTGAGTCGCAAGTGACTTGACAGCACATAACCATCACCATCACCATCACCACCATCGCCACCATCGCCACCATCACCACCATCACCACCATCACCACCACCACGAATCCCTAGTTGGTGATAACGGTCAGTGTGGTCAGCTGGGAAGCAAACGTTGGGACAGCAGTTCACAATAGTTAGCTAGAAGGCGTTCAAGGGCGATCTAACATTGTCACAATGAACTTCATGTCTTCTCCAGCAAGTGTTTGTAACATAATGCCATTTAATGATACAACAGACATGCAGAGATGACCCACGTTTTTCTGACTACAGAAGCCGTGTATCTGGACTTTGATGTGGCTATCTCCTTTGACAGAGGCAAAGGCTGCGTATTCAATGGCCTTTGTCACTGATGGGTTGCTGTTTCCAACGCCATCTTCTCCCTCGGGGCATGCCTTCCCTGCCGGACTTACATCAGCACCATCAGAACACAGTTTGGATGCTTCAGGGCATCACTCAGTATCTCGAATCCTTCATCTCCCAGGGGATTTTGTTTCAGGGAGAGGTACGTCAGCTTCTGATTGCACAGGAGGACAGATGCGAGGTCTGCACAGTTTTCATGTGTGATGTTACAACTTTCCAACCTACACGGGAGACAGATTTTTGTGAGACTGGAGCAAACATTTTAGAAGGATTCAATAGGAGTCAAGAACTCTGCTTCTAAATCTATGCACACCAATCTACCCATGGAAACCATTGAGGAAAAAAAATTCTGTGGATATACCTTGAATTATGGTGTTGACTAAGAGTTTGGAATCTACACTGGACTACCAACACAACAAGCCTAGGTTAGATCAAGTGTAACGAACCATGGGTGGTGGTTAAGACAAGGATGGAAAACTTCATCTCACTTTGAGGATGTTGTCAAGAGGGATCATTGCTTAAAAAAAAAATGACATTTTTGCTGGGAAAAATTAAGGAGCAGAGAAAGAGAGAGTAAGATCCTCTCTGAAATGGATTATTCCAGTGACTGCAGCAATGGTCTCGAACACAATGGAAATGTTGAGGGTGCAGCATTGGGCAATGTTTTGATCTATTTTTCACAGGCTTGCCAACTCAAAGGTGCATAATAACAGCATTGAATATTACAAAATAGATAATGTTTTACAAACTTTTTTTTACAAAGTTAAAATAAAGCTGTTATTTTCAGGACCATGTTTCTTCTGCCCCAGACCATTCCCCCCACCCCCCCAAGCATCTCTGATGTATGGAAATGCTGGACTATAGACAAAGTAGGAAAACTGATGCATTGAATTGTGGTGTGGGTGATCGAGGGAAGAGAAGGAGGGCATGAATAATGTCTACTGCATGGACACAGATGAGAGAACTGTTTAAAAGGGCTATGTGGTTAGGTATTATTGTCGTGACAGGAGTCCAGAATGAAGACTGCACAGTGGAGTGGACTTGGGGGAGGGATTACATAACAGCGAAAGCTTTTCTTTTACTTTTCAATGAGAAGAGTGAATTGGGGGCATTGAGTAGGGAGAAAAGTGAAACAATGAATGAATGGAAACCCTAAGTCCCTACAAACTTTCATGAAAATTAACTTTAAAAAAAGTTGAACCCAATCAGCTGCCTTAAAATGCAACAAACTAGTCTTAGAGTTGTTAGACATGTCTGCTAGTCTTAGACTAGAGAATATTCCTTAGAAGAAGAAGAAAAAAAGCAATTTCAGCTTACTTAAATCAGAAAAGAGAAAGAGTAATTGCTAGAGTGGAACATCAGGCTTGGCAACCAGACAGTGATAATTTGAGAAATCTATCCGAATCATCGGTAGCATCAGGATGGATGGCGAAGAGATTGAGATTGTTCACAGCTTCAGTTTGCTCGGCTCCACGGTCAACACTCTTGGTACCAGTAGCCAGGAAATCAAAAAA